TCATACTCAAGGGGTTAAGACATCATACTCAAAGGAGACATGATACTCAGGTTAAGACATCATACCTAGGGTTAAGACATCATACCAAGGGGTTAAGACATCATACTCAAGGGGTTAAGACATCATACTCAAGGGGTTAAGACATCATACCGAGGGGTTAAGACATCATACTCTAGGGGTTAAGACATCATACTCGAGGGTTAAGACATCATACTCAAGGGTTAAGACATCATACTCAAGGGGTTAAGACATCATACTCAAGGGTTAAGACATCATACTCAAGGGTTAAGACATCATACTCAAGGGGTTAAGACATCATACTCGAGGGGTTAAGACATCATACCTAGGGTTAAGACATCATACTCGAGGGTAAGACATCATACTCGAGGGGTTAAGACATCATACTCAAGGTGGTTAAGACATCATACTGAGGGGTTAAGACATCATACTCAAGGTGGTTAAGACATCATACCGAGGGGTTAAGACATCATACTCAAGGGGTTAAGACATCATACTCGAGGGGTTAAGACATCATACTCAAGGGGTTAAGACATCATACCAAGTGGGGTTAAGACATCATACTCAAGGTGGTTAAGACATCATACTGAGGGGTTAAGACATCATACTCAAGGTGGTTAAGACATCATACTCGAGGGGTTAAGACATCATACTGAGGGTTAAGACATCATACTCGAGGTGGTTAAGACATCATACTCTAGGGGTTAAGACATCATACTCAAGGGGTTAAGACATCATACTGGAGGGGTTACATCATACTCAAGGTGGTTTAGACATCATACTCAAGGGGTTAAGACATCATACTCAAGGGTTAAGACATCATACTCAAGGTGGTTAAGACATCATACTGGAGGGTTAAGACCTCATACTCAAGGGGTTAAGACATCATACGAGGGGTTAAGACATCATATTCAAGGGATTAAGACATCATACTCAAGGGATTAAGACATCATACTCAAGGGGTTTAGACATCATACTCAAGGGGTTAAGACATAATACTCAAGGGCTCAAGGGTGACATCATACTCAAGGGGTTAAGACATCCATAGTACATCATACCTGGGGTTAAGACATCATACCAAGGTTAAGACATCATACTCGAGGGGTTAAGACATCATACCAAGGGGTTAAGACATCATACTCAAGGGTTAAGACATCATACTCAAGGGGTTAAGACATCCCACTCAAGGGGTTAAGACATCATACCTAGGGGTTAAGACATCATACTCAAGGGGTTAAGACATCATACCGAGGGGGTTAAGACATCATACCAAGGGGTTAAGACATCATACTCAAGGGGTTAAGACATCATACTCTAGGGGTTAAGAGCATCATACTCTAGGGGTTAAGACATCACACTAAGGGGTTAAGACATCATACTCAAGGGTTAAGACATCATACTCAAGGGTTAAGACATCATACCGAGGGGTTAAGACATCATACCTAGGGGTAAGACATCATACTCAAGGGGTTAAGACATCATACTCGAGGGGTTAAGACATCATACTCAAGGTGACATCAACCTGGGGTTAAGACATCATACTCAAGGGGTTAAGACATCCGAGGGTTAGACATCATACTCAAGGGGTTAGATCATACCAAGGGGTTAAGACATCATACTCAAGGGGTTAAGACATCATACTCAAGGGTTAAGACATCATACTCAAGGGGTTAAGACATCATACTCAAGGGGTTAAGACATCATACTCAAGGGATTAAGACATCATACTCAAGGGGTTAAGACATCATACTCTGTGGCTAAGGTTGCTGATTTTTAAATTTTCCAAATATTTGATCAAAATTTCAAAATCAGTTTTAAATACGGAAAGGGAGAAGGCGAGAGTGATCTACAATATGTAATTAAGCCTTGATCCTTCGGTAATTGGACAAACTTTTGTAAATGAAATGACTGACAACACAAAACTCTCGTAAAAAATTTGAAGAAAAACTGTAAGCATAATTTTGGTTTTAGTAGAGAGGCAGCTTACAGGACCTCTAGTGTTCGTGTGAGTTACTACTGGCGGGTAACAAGGAAACTTTTCGAAGATTAAAATTTGTAATTTGTTTGGAAATTAGTCAAAGGGTTAAACCATCGTCGCAAAGGGTTAAACCATCGTCGTCAAAGGGTTAAACCATCGTCATTAAAGGGTAAACCATCGTCGTCAACGGTTTAACCATCGTCGTCAAAGGGTTAAACCATCGTCGTCAACCGGTTAAACCATCGTCATTAAAGGGTTAAACCACGTCAACTGGTTAAACCATCGTCATAAAGGGTTAAACCATCGTCGCTGGGTTAAACCATCGTCATTAAAGGTTAAACCATCGTCGTCAAAGGGTTAAACCATCGTCATAAAGGGTTAAACCATCGTCGTCAACGTTTCCATCGTCATTAAAGGGTTAAACCATCGTCATAAAGGGTTAAACCATCGTCGTCGAAGGGTTAAACCATCGTCATCAAAGTGTTAAACCATCGTCATCAAGCGGGTTAAACCATCGTCTTCAGCGTTAAAGACTGATAAAATTCTAATAATAAAGTCAGTTCAGAGGAGGGATACAACACTTGGTCTCTCTTCTATGACTCTAGTTGATCTCCAGCCGCAAATGGGAGGGAGGGGTGTGGGGGTGGGAGGGGTTAGGAGGTGGGTTAGGAGGGGAGGTGGGTTAGGTGGGGAGGTGGGTTAGGTGGGGAGGTGGGTTAGGGGGAGGTAGGGGGAAGGGTGGTAGTGACGTGGGTAGGGAGGAGATGGGGTTTTGGAAATGGTAGAAGGGAAGGGGTGGGGGTGTGGGTAGAGGGGTGAGGAGGGGACTCGCACAAGTGACGGTAAGTGAACAAGTTTTCTTATTAAACAGGTAGTTGTGGTGCAGCTGTCGACCTCACCTACTGTAGTATGTGAGTCAGATTTTATGAAGAACATTACGTCGGGTGAAGTGAGTTGTTTGACCCACTACGACCAGTTACCTCTCTCTCTCTCTCTCTCTCTCTCTCTCTCTCAGCTGATGTAGTGATGTGGGAACTAAAAATATATATATTGGGTCTTTCTTTCTTCTTCTTCTTCTTCTTCTTTCTTCTTCTTTTTCTTCTGTGTATATGTGTTGTGTGTAATTGTATGTATGTATAGTAAGTGTATATATACCTCCCAGCCCTCTCACAATTACCTCAACCTCTCTCACCTCCCAGCCCTCTCACAATTACCATAGCCCTCCTCACCTCTCCCAGCCCTCTCTCACCTCCCAGCCCCCACTATTACCTCAGCCCCTCTCCCATCTCTCCAGCCCTCTCTCACCTCTCCCAGCCCTCTCCCATCTCTCCCAGCCCTCCTCCTCTCTCAACCTCTCACTATCACCTCAGCCCCTCTCTCTCACCTCCCAGCCCTCTCTCACCTCCCCCAGCCCCTCTCACCCTCCCCAGCCCCTCTCTCACCTCTCCCAGCCCTCTCTCTCACCTCTCCCAGCCCTCTCTCACCCTCCCCAGCCCTCTCTCACCCTCCCAGCCCTCTCTCACCCCTCCCACCCTCCCTCTCACCCTCCCAGCCCCTCTCTCACCCTCCCAGCCCTCTCTCTCACCTCTCCCAGCTCCCTCTCCCATCTCTCCCAGCCCCTCTCTACTCCCCCCAGCCCCTCCCCATCTCTCCCAGCCCTCTCACTATACCCTCAGCCCCTCCCAAGTCCTCTCACCTCCCAGCCCTCTCTCACCTCCCCCAGCCTCTCTCACCTCCCCCAGCCCCTCTCTCACCTCCCCCAGCCCTTTCTCATCTCTCCCAGCCCCCTCTCACCTCTCCCAGCCCCTCTCTCACCTCCTCCAGCCCTCTCACCTCTCCCAGCCCTCTCTCTCACCTCCTCCAGCCCTCTCTCTCACCTCCCCCAGCCCCTCTCTCACCCTCCCCCAGCCCTCTCTCACCTCCCCCAACCCCTCTCTCATCTCCCCCAGCCCTCTCTCACCTCCTCCCAGCCCTCTCACCTCCCCCCAGCCCCTCACCTCCCATCCCCTCTCTCTCACCCTCCCAGCCCTCTCTCTCACCTTCCTCCCAGCCCTCTCTCTCACCCTCCCCAGCCCCTCTCACCCCCAGCCCTCTCACCTCCCCCCAGCCCCTCTCACCTCCCCCAGCCCCTTTTCTCTCATCTCTCCCAGCCCCCTCTCACCTCCCTCCTCCAGCCCCTCTCTCTCACCTCCTCCAGCCCTCTCTCACCTCTCCCAGCCCTCTCTCTTCACCTCCCCAGCCCTCTCTCACCTCCCCAGCCCTCTCTCACCTCCCCCAGCCCCTCTCATCTCCCAGCCCCCACTCACCCTCCCTCCCAGCCCTCTCACCTCCTCCAGCCCCTCTCACCTCCCCAGCCCCTCTCACCTCCCCCAGCCCCTCTCTCACCTCCCCCAGCCCTCTCTCACCTCCCCCCAGCCCTCTCTCACCTCTCCCAGCCCTCTCATCTCCTCCAGCCCCTTCTCACCTCTCCCAGCCCTCTCTCTCATCTCCCCCAGCCCTCTCTCACCTCCTCCAGCCCTCTCTTCTCTCCCAGCCCTCTCCACTATCTCAGCCCTCTTTCACCTCTCCCCAGCCCTCTCACCTCTCCCAGCCCTCTCACCCTCCCAGCCCCTCTCTCTCTCACCTCCCCCAGCCCCTCTCTACCTCCCCCAGCCCTCTCTCACCTCCCCAGCCCTCTCATCTCCCCAGCCCCTCTCTCACCTCTCCCAGCCCTCTCTCACCTCTCCCAGCCCCTCTCACCCTTCCAGCCTCTCTCACCTCCCAGCCCCTCTCTCACCTCTCCCAGCCTCCTCTCTCACCTCCCCAGCCCTCATCTCCTCCAGCCCCTCTCTCTCACCCTCCCAGCCCTCTCTCACCTCCCAGCCCCTCTCACCTCCCCCAGCCCCTCCCATCTCATCCAGCCCCTCTCACCTCCCAGCCCCTCTCACCCTCTCCCAGCCCCTCTCTCACCCTCCCAGCCCCTCTCACCTCCCAGCCCTCTCTCACACTCTCTCTGGTGTTACAGGAGGGGGTGGGTAAGGCCGAGGGCTCGCTGTATGCCCGTAGGAAGTGTAACGGCGTCAGCCCTTCGTCACCAGCTGCACTCTCCGCCTCCTCCCAGCACATCGTCGTCCTAGAGGGTGAGTTTACCTCCCAGTTTACCTCTGACGTGCTAGTTTACCTCTGACGTGTTAGTTTACCTCCCAGTTTACCTCTGAATGTGTTAGTTTACCTGTTTACCTCTGACGTGTTAGTTTACCTCCCAGTTTACTTCTGACGTGTTAGTTTACCTCCCTGTTTACCTCTGACGTGTTAGTTTACCTCCCAGTTTACCTTGACGTATTAATACCTACCTGTCAGTTTACCTCTGACGTGCCAGTTTACCTTGACCTGTTAGTTTACCTGTCAGTTTACCTTGACGTGTTAGTTTACCTGTCAGTGTAAACCAGACAGGCAGGCAGGCAGTGTAATATGATTGTGTATGTATTAATGAGCCTTACTCGCCCGTGTGTATATTTTGGTGCATACATGCTCCTCTTGTGTATATTTTTGGGTGCGTTAGTCAGCTCCATGTCTGCCTTTCATGACCTGACTGGTACTGATTTTGGGAGTAAGTTTAGAGATTATTTAATGGGAAGAAGTAATGGATCACATGAAGATTGGACACCCCAGCTTATTGCTCCTCATGATTAATTACCTTAACCCTAACACTAACCTAACACTAACCTAACCTAACACTAACCTAACTCTAACCTAACACAACTTTAACCTAACACTAACCTAACACTAACCTAACCTAACACTAACATAACTCTAACCTAACACAACTTTAACCTAACACTAACATAACTCTAACCTAACACAACTCTAACCTAACACAACTCTAACCTAACACAACTCTAACCTAACACTAACATAACTCTAACCTAACACTAACGTAACCTAACACTAAACTAACCTAACACTAACCTAACCTAACACTAACATAACTCTAACCTAACACAACTTTAACCTAACACTAACATAACTCTAACCTAACACAACTCTAACCTAACACAACTCTAACCTAACACTAACATAACTCTAACCTAACACTAACGTAACCTAACACTAAACTAACCTAACACTAACGTAACCTAACACTAACATAACTCTAACCTAACACTAACATAACTCTAACCTAACACTAATGTAACCTAACACTAAACTAACCTAACACTCAACATAACTCTAACCTAACACCAACGTAACCCAACACTCAAACTAACCTAACACTAACGCAACCTAACACCAACATAACTCTAACCAACACAACTAACTCTAACCTACACAACTCTAACCTAACACTAACATAACTCTAACCTAACACAAACTAACCTAACACTCAACATAACTCTAACCTAACACTAACGTAACCTAACACTAAACTAACCTAACACTAACGTAACGTAACACTAACATAACTCTAACTTAACACTAACATAACTCTAACCTAACACTCAACGTAACCTAACACTAAACTAACTCTAACAACACTAACGTAACCTAACACTAACATAACCTAACCTAACACCAACATAACCCCTAACTAACACACTAACGTAACCTACACTAACATATAACTCTAACCTGCACTAACGTAACCTACAACACTAACATAACTCTAACCTAACACTAACGCAACCTAACACTAACATAACTCTAACCTAACACTCAACGTAACTTAACCTAACACTAAACTAACCTAACACTCAACATATCCTAACCTAACACTAACGTAACCTAACCTCACTAAACTAACCTAACACAAACATGACTCTAACCTAACACTAACGTAACCTAACACTAACATAACTCTAACCTAACACTAACGCAACCTAACACTAACATAACTCTAACCTAACACTAACGTAACTCTAACCTAACACTAAACTAAACCTAACACTAACATAATCCCCTAACCTAACACTAACGTGAACTCTAACCTAACACTAAACCAACCTAACACAAACATAATCCTAACCTAACACTAACGTAACCTAACACTAACATAACTCTAACTTAGCACCAACGTAAACTCAACACTAACATAACTCTAACCCAACACTAACGCAACCTAACACTAACTAACTTAAACTAACACTAACGTACCTAACCAACATTAACTTAACCTAACACAACATAACTCTAACCTAACACTAACGTAACTCTAACCTCACTAAACTAACCTAACACAAACATGACTTAACCTCAACTAACGTAACCCAACACAACATAACTCTAACGCAACCCAACACTAAACATCAACTCTAAAACACTCAAACTTAAGCCCAACACTAACATAACTCAACCTAACACGCAACCTAACACCAATAAACCTAACGTAACACTAACGTAACTCTAACCTAACACTAAACTAACCTAACACTAACATAATTCCAACCTAACACTAACGCATAACTAACCCAACACTAAACTAACCCAACACAAACATAACTCCAACTCAACACTCAACGTAACCTAACACTAAAACAACCTGAAACTAACATAACTCTAACCCAACACTAACGTAATTCTAACCTAACACCAACATAACCTAACACTAACATAACTCTAACCCAACACCAACGTAACCCAACACTAACATAACCAAAACTAACACCAACATAACTCTCAACCCAACACCAACGTAACCTAACACTAACATAACTCTAACTTAACACTATCGTAACCTAACACTAACATAACTCTAACCCAACACTAACGTAACCTGACACTAACATAACTCTAACCCAACACTAACGTAACTAACACTAACATAACTTTAACGCAGTACTAACGCTAACCTAACACTAACGTAACCGAACACTAACATAACTCTAACCTAACACTAACGTAACTCTAACCTAACACTAAACTAACCTAACACAAACATAACTCTAACCTAACACTAACGTAACCTAACACTAAACTAACCGAAACTAACATAACTCTAACCTAACACTAACGTAATTCTAACCTAACACTAACATAACCTAACACTAACATAACTCTAACCTAACACTAACGTAACCTAACACTAACATAACTCTAACCTAACACTAACATAACTCTAACCTAACACTAACGTAACCTAACACAACTCTAACCTAACACTAACGTAACCTAACACTAACATAACTCTAACCTAACACTAACGTAACCGAACACTAACATAACTCTAACCTAACACTAACGTAACCGAACACAAACATAACTCTAACCTAACACTAACGTAACCTAACACTAAACTAACCTAACACTAACATAACTCTAACCTAACACTAACGTAACGTAACGTACCGTAACCTAGCACTAAACTAACCTAACACTAACATAACTCTAACCTAACACTAACGTAACGTAACGTAACCTAACACTAACACTAACTCTAACCTAACCTAAACTAATACTAACCTACCACTAACCTAACACTAACCTAACACTAACCTAACCTAACGTAACCTAACCTAACACTAACCAAACCTAACCTTGTCGTCTCTTCGGTACACAACAGATGAAGTGGTGGACAGAAACTGTGACAAGTGTCGAGAGTGTTGCGTCAATTACCGGATTTGGCTCAAGTTCCAGAATATGATGCATGTGGTTGTGCATGACGCAGTGTTCGACCTGTTCATCATGTTGTGCATCATCATGAACACCGTCTTCCTGGCTATTGAACATCATGGCATGTCTTATGAACTCAATAAAGTGTTGGAAGTTGGTAACAGGGTGAGTATCTCTCGCTGTTTGTATTGGCTCTCTCTCTCTCTCTCTCTCTCTCTCTCTCTCTGCCACCACAAAAGTTCACTCTTGTTCAGTGTTCAATATAAGGAAGTCTAACTGGATTTTTCAACTTCATGTTCTGTCTCGTTGTTCACTGTTGTTCTTATTTGTTCATTATTGATTACTGTTCATAGTGTTTATGATACCCTTTGTTCACCGCTGTTCATTGTATACGTTAAAAAGTTCTTCATCTGCATTCACCCACTCGTAATTCCTAATCCACATTAAGTTCTTCAGCATTCCTAATCCAACATTCCTAATTCACATTATGTTCACCATCCATCCAGCCTTCACCACTCTTAATCCACACTGAACTGTTCATTGTTCACAGGTGTTCACGGCGATATTCACGTTAGAGTGCATCATGAAGTTAATGGCGCTCAGTAAGGAGTTCTTTGTCAACAAGTGGAACGTATTCGACCTGGTCATCGTCCTCGCCTCCCTCCTTGACCTCGCCCTCGAGATAGGCTCCGGTCTATCTGTACTACGGGGCATGAGATTGGTCAGTATTTAGATAGATAGATAGATAGATAGATGGACAGATATATAGATAGATAGATATTCGGTCAAATTTTCATACAACTTCACATTAACTCAAACTGTATATAGACAGTGCTGGTATATAAACTATGTATATAGACAGTGCTGGTATATAAACTATGTATATAGACAGTGCTGGTATATAAACTATGTATATAGAGAGTGCTGGTATATAAACTGTGTATATAGAGAGTGCTGGTATATAAACTATGTATATAGACAGTGCTGGTATATAAACTATGTATATAGACAGTGCTGGTATATAAACTGTATATAGACAGTGCTGGTATATAAACTATGTATATAGACAGTGCTGGTATATAAACTGTATATAGACAGTGCTGGTATATAAACTGTGTATATAGACAGTGCTGGTATATAAACTGTGTATATAGACAGTGCTGGTATATAAACTGTGTATATAGACAGTGCTGCTATATAAACTATGTATATAGACAGTGCTGCTATATAAACTATGTATATAGACAGTGCTGGTATATAAACTGTGTATATAGACAGTGCTGGTATATAAACTGTGTATATAGAGAGTGCTGGTATATAAACTGTGTATATAGACAGTGCTGGTATATAAACTATGTATATAGAGAGTGCTGGTATATAAACTGTGTATATAGACAGTGCTGGTATATAAACTGTGTATATAGACAGTGCTGGTATATAAACTGTGTATATAGACAGTGCTGGTATATAAACTGTGTATATAGACAGTGCTGGTATATAAACTATGTATATAATTAGTGCTGTTATATAAACTATGTATATAGACAGTGCTGGTATATAACTATTATGTATATAGACAGTGCTGGTATATAAACTGTGTATATAGACAGTGCTGGTATATAAACTGTGTATATAGACAGTGCTGGTATATAAACTGTGTATATAGACAGTGCTGGTATATAAACTGTATATATAGACAGTGCTGGTATATAAACTATGTATATAGACAGTGCTGGTATATAAACTATGTATATAGACAGTGCTGGTATATAAACTGTGTATATAGACAGTACTGGTATATAAACTGTGTATATAGACAGTGCTGGTATATAAACTGTGTATATAGACAGTGCTGGTATATAAACTATGTATATAGACAGTGCTGGTATATAAACTATGTATATAGACAGTGCTGGTATATAAACTGTGTATATAGACAGTGCTGGTATATAAACTGTGTATATGACCCAATTGCTGGTATATAAACTATGTATATAGACAGTGCTGGTATATAAAGCTATGTATATAGACAGTGCTGAGTATATAAACTATGTATATAGACAGTGCTGGTATATAAACTAATAATATATAGACAGTGCTCGTATATAAACTGTGTATATAGACTGATGCTGGTATATAAACTATGTATATAGACAGTGCTGGTATATAAACTGTGTATATAGACAGTGCACAATTATATAAACTATGTATATAGACAGTGCTGGTATATAAACTATGTATATAGACAGTGCTGGTATATAAACTATGTATATAGACAGTGCTGGTATATATAAACTGTGTATATAGACAGTGCTGGCCATATAAACTATGTATATAGACAGTGCTGGTATATAAACTGTGTATATAGACAGTGCTGGTATATAAACTATGTATATAGACAGTGCTGGTATATAAACTGTGTATATAGACAGTGCTGGTATATAAACTATGTATATAGACAGTGCTAGTATATAAACTGTGTATATAGACAGTGCTGGTATATAAACTATGTATATAGACAGTGCTGGTATATAAACTATGTATATAGACAGTGCTGGTATATAAACTATGTATATAGACAGTGTTGGTATATAAACTGTGTATATAGACAGTGCTGGTATATAAACTATGTATATAGACAGTGTTGGTATATAAACTGTGTATATAGACAGTGCTGGTATATAAACTATGTATGTAGACAGTGCTGGTATATAAACTGTGTATATAGACAGTGTTGGTATATAAACTGTGTATATAGACAGTGCTGCTATATAAACTGTGTATATAGACAGTGCTGGTATATAAACTGTGTATATAGACAGTGCTGGTATATAAACTATGTATATAGACAGTGCTGGTATATAAACTATGTATATAGACAGTGCTGGTATATAAACGTATATAGACAGTGCTGGTATATAAACTGTGTATATAGACAGTGCTGGTATATAAACTGTGTATAGACAGTGCTGGTATATAAACTGTGTATATAGACAGTGCTGGAAACTGTGTATATAGATGTGTATATAAAGTATATAGAGGGTATATAAACTATGTATATAGACAGTGGTATATAAACTGTATATAGACAGTGCTGGTATATATGTATATAGACAGTGCTGGTATATAAACTGTGTATATAGACAGTGCTGGTATATAAACTGTGTATATAGACAGTGCTGGTATATAAACTATGTATAGACAGTGCTAGGTATTCTATGTATATATGTTGGTATATAAACTATGTATATAGACAGTGCTGGTATATAAACTGTGTATATAGACAGTGCTGTATAAAACTATGTATATAGACAGTAAACTGTGTATAGACAGTGCTGGTATATAAACTATGTATATAGACAGTGCTGGTATATAAACTGTGTATATAGACAGTGCTGTGTATATATAAATATGTAAGGTGCTGGTATATAAACTGTATTGTGCTGGTATATAAACTGTGTATATAGACAGTGCTGGTATATAAACTATGTATATAGACAGTGCTGGTATATAAACTGTGTATATAGACAGTGCTGGTATATAAACTATGTATATAGACAGTGCTGGTATATAAACTGTGTATATAGACAGTGCTGGTATATAAACTATGTATATAGACAGTGCTGGTATATAAACTGTGTATATAGACAGTGCTGGTATATAAACTATGATATATAGACAGTGCTGGTATATAAACTGTGTATATAGACAGTGCTGGTATATAAACTATGTATATAGACAGTGCTGGTATATAAACTATGTATATAGACAGTGCTGGTATATAAACTATATATATAGACAGTGCTGGTATATAAACTGTGTATATAGACAGTGCTGGTATATAAACTATGTATATAGACAGTGCTGGTATATAAACTGTATATAGACAGTGCTGGTATATAAACTATGTATATAGACAGTGCTGGTATATAAACTGTGTATATAGACATTGCTGGTATATAAACTGTGTATATAGACAGTGCTGGTATATAAACTATGTATATAGACAGTGCTGGTATATAAACTATGTATATAGACAGTGCTGGTATATAAACTGTGTATATAGACAGTGCTGGTATATAAACTATGATTATATAGACAGTGCTGGTATATAAACTATGTATATAGACAGTGCTGGTATATAAACTGTGTATATAGACAGTGCTGGTATATAAACTGTGTATATAGACAGTGCTGGTATATAAACTGTGTATATAGACAGTGCTGGTATATAAACTGTGTATATAGACAGTGCTGGTATATAAACTATTATATAGACAGTGCTGGTATATAAACTGTGTATATAGACAGTGCTGGTATATAAACTATGTATATAGACAGCTGGTATATAAACTGTGTATATAGACAGTGCTGGTATATAAACTATATATAGACAGTGCTGGTATATAAACTGTGTATATAGACAGTGCTGGTATATAAACTATATTATAGACAGTGCTGGTATATAAACTATGTATATAGACAGTGCTGGTATATAAACTTATGTATATAGACAGTGCTGGTATATAAACTGTGTATATAGACAGTGCTGGTATATAAACTATGTATATAGACAGTGCTGGTATATAAACTATGTATATAGACAGTGCTGGTATATAAACTATGTATATGACAGTGCTGGTATATAAACTATGTATATAGACAGTGCTGGTATATAAACTGTGTATATAGACAGTGCTGGTATATAAACTATGTATATAGACAGTGCTGGTATATAAACTGTGTATATAGACAGTGCTGGTATATAAACTATATATATAGACAGTGCTGGTATATAAACTGTGTATATAGACAGTGCTGGTATATAAACTATGTATATAGACAGTGCTGGTATATAAACTGTGTATATAGACAGTGCTGGTATATAAACTATTATTATAGACAGTGCTGGTATATAAACTGTGTATATAGACAGTGCTGGTATATAAACTGTATGTATATAGACAGTGCTGGTATATAAACTGTGTATATAGACAGTGCTGGTATATAAACTATATAGACAGTGCTGGTATAAACTGTATATAGACAGTGCTGGTATATAAACTATGTATATAGACAGTGCTGGTATATAAACTGTGTATATAGACAGTGCTGGTATATAAACTGTGTATATAGACAGTGCTGGTATATAAACTATTATATAGACAGTGCTGGTATATAAACTGTGTATATAGACAGTGCTGGTATATAAACTTTATATAGACAGTGCTGGTATATAAACTGTGTATATAGACAGTGCTGGTATATAAACTATGTATATAGACAGTGCTGGTATATAAACTGTGTATATAGACAGTGCTGGTATATAAACTATGTATATAGACAGTGCGGTATATAAACTGTGTATATAGACATGCTGGTATATAAACTATGTATATAGACAGTGCTGGTATATAAACTGTGTATATAGACAGTGCTGGTATATAAACTATGTATATAGACAGTGCTGGTATATAAACTATGTATATAGACAGTGCTGGTATATAAACTTGTGTATATAGACAGTGCTGGTATATAAACTGTGTATATAGACAGTGCTGGTATATAAACTAGTTATAGACAGTGCTGGTATATAAACTGTGTATATAGACAGTGCTGGTATATAAACTATGTATATAGACAGTGCTGGTATATAAACTATATTATAGACAGTGCTGGTATATAAACTATGTATATAGACAGTGCTGGTATATAAACTATGTATATAGACAGTGCTGGTATATAAACTGTGTATATAGACAGTGCTGGTATATAAACTATGTATATAGACAGTGCTGGTATATAAACTGTGTATATAGACAGTGCTGGTATATAAACTTGTATATAGACAGTGCTGGTATATAAACTGTGTATATAGACAGTGCTGGTATATAAACTATGTATATGGACAGTGCTGGTATATAAACTATGTATATAGACAGTGCTGGTATATAAACTATGTATATAGACAGTGCTGGTATATAAACTATGTATATAGACAGTGCTGGTATATAAACTGTGTATATAGACAGTGCTGGTATATAAACTATGTATATAGACAGTGCTGGTATATAATAATATATAGACAGTGCTGGTATATAAACTGTGTATATAGACAGTGCTGGTATATAAACTATGTATATAGACAGTGCTGGTATATAAACTATGTATATAGACAGTGCTGGTATATAAACTATGTATATAGACAGTGCTGGTATATAAACTATATATATAGACAGTGCTGGTATATAAACAAGTACAGTCCCATTCACTAATGTGTTTACAGCGGCTCTTTATATAAACAATCCACAAATCATTATCTTCGAGATATTTGTTTTAATATTGTTTTAATTTGATTCCGTAGTGTGTTTTATTATTGTGAGTTTCCTTCTGTTGAATGTAGACAAACACAACGCTGCCACACTGTACAAAACCTGACGACCCTTTGTAAACACACTAGTGAAGGGAACTGGACGTAGACAGTGATGGTATATAAACTATGTATATACTGTAGACTGTTTATGTTGAAAGTACCTTTTAAATTTTAAGTTAGGTAGAAAGTGTTGGTTTAAATTTCAGGTTTAGGTAGAAAATACAGTTTATTGAAAAAGTACAGGTTTAAATTTCAGGTTTAGGTAGAAAGTACAGGTTTTACTAGAAGGTACGGGTTTAAATTTCAGGTTTAGGTAGAAAATACGGGTTTAAATTTCAGGTTTGGGAAGAACGTGCAGGTTTAAATTTCAGGTTTAAGTAAAAAGAATGGCTTTATGTTTCAAGTTTGGGTAGAAAGTACTGATTTAAATTTCGGCTTTAGATAGAAAGTACAGGTTTAAATTTCAGGTTTAGGGAGAAAGTACAGGTTTAAATTTCAGGTTTAGGTAGAAAGTACAGGTTTAAATTTCAGGTTTGCATAGAAAGTACAGGTTTAAATTTCAGGTTTAGGGAAAAAGTACAGGTTTAAATTTCAGGTTTAGGGAGAAAGTACAGGTATAAATTTCAGGTTTAAGTAGAAAGTAATGCTTTAAATTTCAGGGTTAGGTAGAAAGTACAGGTCTAAATTTCAGGTTTAGGTAGGAAGTACGGGTTTAAATTTCAGGTTTAGGAAGAAAGTACAGGTTTAGGTCTAATTTTAAATACTTCACTCGAGTACTTTCCCTCATCCACCTGTGCTTTGAGATTTTTTTTCCTTGTAACACGACGAAAGTTTCTCAACCTTTCTCTCGCCAAAATCAAACTTTTCCTTCACGTAATTGTTGACATTGTGATATCATCTTCCTTCTCCTTCCTTTCTTCCTTCTTTTTCTTCCTTCTTCCTTTTTTCTTTTTTCCTTCTTCCTTCTTCCTTCTTCCTTCCTTCCTTCTTCCTTCCTTCCTTCCTTCCTTCCTTCCTTCCTTTTCCTTCCTTCCTTCCTTCCTTCCTTCCTTCCTTCCTTCCTTCTTCCTTCCTTCCTTCCTTCCTTCTTCCTTCCTTCTTCCTTTCTTTCTTCCTTCTTCCCTTCCTTCTTCCTTCTTCCTTCCTTCCTTCTTCCTTCTTCCTTCCTTCCTTTCTTCCTTCTTCCTTCCTTCTTCCTTCCTTCCTTCCTTCCTTCCTTCCTTCCTTCCTTCTTCCTTCCTTCCTTCCTTCTCCTTCCCTTCTTCCTCTTCCTCCTTTCTTCTCCTTCCTTCCTTCTTGCTTCTTTCACAAACAGATTTTCCCTACACTTTCTCGCTTTCTTTCTCATTCTCTTTCACCTTGTTTTTCTCCTCTCTCTTCTCTCTCTCCTTTATCTCTCTCTGCACACACACACACACACACACACACACACACACATTCTCACCCACTCCCTCCTTCTTCCTTCACCCTGCTCCTCCTTCTTCCACCTTACCCCTCCTTCTCTCACCGTACTCCTCCTTCTCTCCCCGACAGTTACGAGTGCTCAAGTTAGCTCAGTCGTGGCGGACTATGCGAGTCTTACTGTATATCATTGTGTCGACGCTGGGAGCCCTTGGGAACCTCACCTTTGTTCTCATCATCATATATCTTTGCCGTGATTGGGATGCAGTTGTTTGGCAAGAATTACACGGCCAAGAACTTCGCCCCTGACCCCGTGCCCAGGTGAGTGCATATTTGATTGGTGCCCAGGTGAGTATGTTTGTTTGGGGGGTATGTTTTGATGACTTGTGCCCAGGTGAGTGTGTTGTGTAAGTGTTTTGGATGACTTGTGCCCAGGAGTGTGTTGGGGGGGTGTTTTGATGACTTGTGCCCAGGTGAGTGTTGGGGTATGTTTGATGACTTGTGCCCAGGTGAGTGTTGGGGTATGTTTGATGACTTGCCCAGGTGAGTGTGTTTGTTTGGTAGTGTTTTGATGACTTGTGCCCAGGTGAGTGTGTTGGGGGTGAAGGTTTTGATGACTTGTGCCCAGGTGAGTGTGTGTTGGGGGTATGTTTTGATGACTTGTGCCCAGGTGAGTGTGTTTGTTTGAGGTATGTTTTGATGACTTGTGCCCAGGTGAGTGTTTGTTTGAGGTATGTTTTGATGCTTGTGCCCAGGTGAGTGTGTTTGGGGGGGTATGTTTTGATGACTTGTGCCCAGGTGAGTGGTTTGTTTGAGGTATGTTTTGATGACTTGTGCCCAGGTGAGTGTGTTGGGGGTATGTTTTGATGACTTGTGCCCAGGTGAGTGTGTTTGTTTGAGGTATGTTTTGATGACTTGTGCCCAGGTGAGTGTGTTGGGGGTATGTTTTGGATGACTTGTGCCCAGGTGAGTGTGTTTGTTTATATGTTTTGATGACTTGTGCCCAGGTGAGTGTGTTTGTTTGAGGTATGTTTTGATGACTTGTGCCCAGGTGGAGTGTGTTTGAGGTATGTTTGATGACTTGTGCCCAGGTGAGTGTGTTTGGGGGTATGTTTTGGATGACTTGTGCCCAGGTGAGTGTGTTTGTTTGAGGTATGTTTTGATGACTTGTGCCCAGGTGAGTGTGTTTGGGGGGAGTGTTTGATGACTTGTGCCCAGGTGAGTGTGTTTGTTTGAGGTATGTTTTGATGACTTGTGCCCAGGTGAGTGTGTTGGGGGGTATGTTTTGATGACTTGAGCCCAGGTGAGTGTGTTTGGGGGGTATGTTTTGGATGACTTGTGCCCAGGTGAGTGTGTTTGGGGGGTATGTTTTGATGACTTGTGCCCAGGTGAGTGTGTTTGTTTGAGGTATGTTGATGACTCCAGCCCAGGTGAGTGTGTTTGGGGGGTATGTTTTGATGACTTGTGCCCAGGTGAGTGTGTTGGGGGTATGTTTTGATGACTTGTGCCCAGGTGAGTGTGTTTGTTTGAGGTATGTTTTGATGATCCGTCAGAGTGTGTTGGGGGTATGTTTTGATGATCTGCCAGGAGTGTGTTGGGGGTATGTTTTGATGACTTGTGCCCAGGTGAGTGTGTGTTTGGGGGTATGTTTTGATGACTTGTGCCCAGGTGAGTGTGTTTGTTTGAGGTATGTTTTGATGACTTGTGCCCAGGTGAGTGTGTTGGGGGGTGTTTTGATGACTTGTGCCCAGGTGAGTGTGTGTTTGGGGGTATGTTTTGATGACTTGTACCAGGTGAGTGTGTTTGGGTATGTTTTGATGACCTGCCCAGGTGAGTGTGTTTGTTTGAGGTATGTTTTGGATGACTTGTGCCCAGGTGAGTGTGTTTGTTTGAGGTATGTTTTGATGACTTGTGCCCAGGTGAGTGTGTTTGTTTGGGGTATGTTTGATGACTTGTGCCCAGGAGTGTGTTGGTTGATGGTTTTGATGACTTGTGCCCAGGTGAGTGTGTTTTTGAGGTATGTTTTGATGACTGTGCCCAGGTGAGTGTGTTTGTTTGAGGTATGTTTGATGATCATGCAGGTGAGTGTGTTTGTTTGAGGTATGTTTTGATGACTTGTGCCCAGGTGAGTGTGTTTGTTTGAGGTGTGTTTTGGATGATTGTGCCCAGGTGAGTGTGTTTGTTTGAGTATGTTTTGGATGACTTGTGCCTGAAAGGAGTGTTGGTTTTGAGGTTTGATGACTTGTGCCCAGGTGAGTGTGTTTGTTTGAGGTATGTTTTGATGACTTGTGCCCAGGTGAGTGTGTTTGTTTGAGGTGTTTTGATGACTTGTGCCCAGGTGAGTGTGTTTGTTTGAGGTATGTTTGATGACTTGTGCCCAGGTGAGTGTGTTTGTTTGAGGTATGTTTTGATGACTTATGCCAAACTCATCATACAGCACACGTATGAGTAATCCCCCATCATTTTAAGTATGATAAGTTAGAGGAAACATACGATTGTGTGTGAATAAACTTATTAAGAATTCTAGTCATATATAGACACCTTTTCCACACCCATCTTATTGTGCGGGGAAATACATGTGTGTGAGATGATGTATATGTGACTTGTGTGTGTATGGAATAATGTATATGTGACTTGTGTGTGTATGGGTTAATGTATATGTGACTTGTGTGTGTATGGGATAATGTATATGTGACTTGTGTGTGTATGGGATAATGTATATGTGACTTGTGTGTGTATGGGGTAATGTATGTGACTTGTGTGTGTATGGGATAATGTATGTGACTATATATATGATAATGTATATATGTCTGTCTGTCTCACTTGTCTGTCTGTGTCTGTCTGTCTCACCAGCATGTCTGTCTTATCTCCCTAACGTATCTGGTTCGTCTGTCTGTATGTCTGTCTGTCTGTCTGTATGTCTGTCTGTCTGTCTGTCTGTCTGTCTGTCTGTCTGTCTGTCTGTCTGTATGTCTGTCTGTCTGTCTGTCTGTTCGTCTGTCTGTCTGTTCGTCTGTCTGTCTGTCTGCTGTCTGTTCGTCTGTCTGTTCGTCTGTCTGTCTGCTCGTCTACCAGTATACTATTACTTCCTATCTACCAATTTATACACAAACTTATAAATCAATTCGTTAGTTTCTGTTCGTTATATGACCTCCTAACGTAAAGCTCAAAATATTAACTAATTCGTAAGGCACATTTGCTATGACTTAGGAAGTTAATTTCGTTGCTTTCGTATTATTAAAGTCGTATTTACGTTATAATAATCTTGGAAATATTATTGGTCAGGGTCGATTATCTGCCCTTGTTTATTGGGTCTAATTAGGAAAGTTGACTCTCCTTTCTTCTTCCTTGTACATGTAATCGTATCTGTATTTGTATCTTTATCTATACTTCTATTTAAACCAGTACTATAAATATCTCTACTGGTGTCTTGTGTCCCAGTAACCCCGACAATAACTCAAACAACTGATATAAACAAAACAAAACCTGGATAATTTTAAACCATCACGGTGTATAAGAATTATTTTTGGTCTATCCCCTCACAAGACGACGTCAGATGAACACACTTACATTACACACACACACACACACACACACACACACACACACACACCGCTCCTAACCCCACATTTCTTTTTATATAAATCAAGTTTTTAAATAACTACATAACAAGTGATAAATGTTATTCTTGACGATATAAAACTTGTCTTGGAATTCCACTACACGAAGAGGAGAATAGTTTTAGTGTCGTACCCAACGTTTGTTTTCGTCCGCAGGGTTTATGCGTGTGGGTACATTGTGGGAGAGATCTTTGGGTGTGGGGGCTTGGGTGGTCGAGATGGTGGTGGTGTTTGATGTTGTGTGACGTGTGAGATAAGATACTCTGGAAGCTTGAGTGTTAAAGCGACGTAAACACCGTGCTTGTTGTTGTGGGGTTTATATATACTGTTTTATCTTTTGACGCCCTCGCTGTAAAAGAATTGCTCTCAAAGGACAGAGCTGCCGAATGATAGTCTGGCGTAGCTTCCATAAGGTGCCATTGTGGTAGCCAGCTTCACCAATGTGTGTTGGGGTGGAAAGGAAGGCTGGTGAACGTTAGTCTGGCATGGCTTCATAAGTGTGCCATTGTGGGGTGGAGAGGCTGGTGAACGTTAGTCTGTCTTCATAAGTGTGTCTCATTGTGGGGTGCTGGAAGGCTGGCAGACATAGTCTCTTCCATGGGAAGTGTGTGTTGTGGGGTGGAGAGGAGATACAGTGAGCCGTTAGTCTGGCTGTAAGCTTCCATAAGGTTATTTAATTAAACTTACAGGAATTGGAGGCGTGAACGTTGTCTGGCGTAGCTACAAGTGTGTCATTGTGGTGCTGGAAGGTGGCAGGCGTTAGTCTGGCTTAAGCTTCGCAAAGTGTGTCGTGTGAATTGGAGGCTGGCGGGCGTTAGTCTGGCTGTAGCTCCATAGAGTGTGTCATTGTGGGGTGGAGGAGGCTGGCGGAGGCGTGTGGCCAGTGTGTCGTGTGGGGTGGAGGCTGGTGGACGTTGGTCTGGCATGGCTTATAGATGTGTGTCATTGTGGGTGGGAAGGTTTGGTATGTGACTGGTCTATAAATTAATATCATTGTGGGGTGGAGGCTGGTGAAAGACGTTAATGTAAACCTTAAATTAATGTGTCGTTGTGGGGTGGGGAAGGCGTGAACATTGGTCTGGCATGGCTTTACTTAAGTGTGTCATTGTGGGTGGAGGAGGCTGGTGAACGTTAGTCTGGCATGGCTTCCATAAGTGTGTCATTGTGGGGTGGGAGGCTGGTAGACGTTAGTCTGTGGCCTTCCATGATGTGTCATTGTGGGGTGATTGGAGGGCTGGTAGACGTGATGGTCTGCGTCGTAACTATAGATGTGTTTCATTGTGGGGTGGGGAGGAGGCTGGTGACCGTTAGTCATGGCCATAGTGTGTGTCGTTGTGGGGTGGAGGGAGAGGCTGTTAGACGTTAGTCTGGCGTAACCATAAGTGTCATTGTGGGGTGGAAGGCTGGTTAGACATTAGTCTGGCATGGCTTCCAAAATACCAAATACTCGTTATGCAGAATTGGAGAGGCTGGCGAATGCCAAGTCTGTAGCTTCATTATGTCATTATGCAGGGTGGAGAGCTGATGAGCGATGAGTCTGGCGTATTCCATAAGTGTATCATTGTAAATTGGAGGCTGGTCAGCCAGTCATGGCTTCCATAAGTGTGTCATTGTGGGTGGAGAGAGGGGCGGTAGACGTTGGTCTGGCGTAACTTCCATAGGAGTGTGTCATTATGTGGGGTGGAGGCTGGTGAGCATTAG